TTATAGTTAGAAAGTCAACTTAGAAATACTTTTGGATTTAGTTAAATAAAAAAAAATGAACATTCTCATATGACACACTTGAGGGCATGTGAGATGCATCCACACCCTTCAAAAGATGCGTGTGATGTCTCTCAGTATCCAAAAAAACCCTTCTATTACGTTGCTAGAAGTGTCACTGTTTTCTCTTTCTATTAGTGTGGTGAGTATCTTTATAGCTAATTAAGTATGTTGTTGATGAGCTTTTATTTTATTTTTTTAATTCTCTTTACTTTCATAAAAATTATAAATTGACCCTCTTAGTTGTTGATAATTCAACTTCAGTTCTTATTCTTTTAATTTTTAATTTTTGATCTTGTCTCTCCTATAAAAGTTTTATTTGTTTTCAATTTCACCATTAAATTTCAATTTATCAAATATTATGTTCTCCTATTTGATCATTATTCTTTGGATTTTTAATATTTTTCCTTGGTTTTTTGTAAATTTTTTATCAATTTATAATTTCATCATTCAATTCAAATTGATGGTATTATATTTTCCAATATAGTCCTAATTGTTTTGAGTTCTAATTTCTTGGCCCTTTTGTAAAAATTATTATTCTTTTCAGTTTCACTATTTAACTATTATATTTTTTTTATTTTTTATGTCAATTTCGAGCCTTATTTTTTTATTTTTCTAAATTGATTTTTTTTCAATCTCACCTTTCAATTGAATATAAAACTTATTTTGTACTTTAACTTTGACCCTCATTCTTCTTTTTTTTTTAAATCCTATTGTATAGTTGAAATTCTTTTTCAATTTTATCTTTCAATATATGATTGTTCAGAAATTGGATTTCATAATTTTTCTAGATTGGGTGTTTTGGATTTAATAACTCTGGTTATAGGTTTGAAAAGTTAACATGAGTATTTTTTAAAAAATAAAGACTTTATAATTCTCTTAATCTTTTTATCAGGTTATTCTAATCACGTGATTTGGTGTACGAATTTGATGAGATATCTCAAATTGACTCAGCTCTAATTAGTGTGTTGTAGGTTTGTTATGATTCATTTTTTATGTTTTTTTTTTTACCTTATTTCCGAACCTAAATATCATTTTTATACAAAACAACAATTTGGCCCTATTGCGAAGTGCAAACATAGAGGCTACTCTCATCTAAAATACAAGAAACCTTGATCAAGACCATTGAAGTTCTTTTATATTTTCATCACATGTGAGGTGATGTTTTTAAAAATCCTCATAGTAAAATCCACAATAAAACATCTCACAAAAAAATGTTAGAGACTCAAGATTAAAAGGTCTATGCAAAGATGATAAGAGTCGGTCCACACCAAAAGAATGTTTATGGTGAAGGCATTCTGAGGTTTGAATTCGATGATGAGTTACTTTTAACCTAGGGATACTAATGCAAGAATTTTTTGGAAAAATAAATATTTTTTAATAATTTTTATTTTTTCCTTTTGTTTTAGGAATGTTTTCCATTATCTATTATTTTGTTTTTTTTTAGTTTTTTTTTCTATTAGAGGAGAATAATCTTTTATTTTTATTTTTCTATTTATAAATAAAAATTGAATATTTAATGTTTTTGGTTTCTAAAGATTTTGACTTATATTTAATAAACTCTTCATTAAATACGTCCCGAGTTAAAAGATTGGATGGATTGGTTCATCATCTACAAAGGACAAAAAATAAATGTAAAGGATGATTAATAAGCTTTAATACTCCCGGCACCAGACAGTCAGACAAGCACAACATTAATTTATAATCAACAAAAACTTAACCACGTGGATTTTGTTTTCTGTAATAACTCTTTTTTTTTTCTTCCCATAACCTTCATCTTTAATTTTCTATAATCTAAAGTAAATCCAAGCTTAAATCTTCTCATCAACTAAACAATCTTTATTTATTCTAAATGACTAAATCAATGAAACAGGAGAAATTATCTAATCTAAATAAATAAATAAATAAGCGTAAGAAAGATTACAAAATATATAATTTTTTTTTTTTTGCTTTTAGAAAAATCCAAAAAAATACACGTGAAAAGCATTCAATTATCAAAGCCTAATTTGCATTAGAAATTTTCTATTTGTTCATTGGAATAAAGTAATGAAAATTTTATCCCTTCACTGAAAAAACTTTGCATTGAATTCTAATAACATTGAAATCTTTTAAGGTAATTTATTTATTATTTTTAAATTAATTAAAAACAAATAAATATTTTTATATCTTGATTGTACAGTGAAACAACTAGAAAACCCTTGAAAGAAACTTTTTGAAAACTTAGCATCAAGGGGTATCTTTATATTTTCACAATAGTTATTTTGTTATTACAATTTAAATTGAAGAAAAATTTGTTATTTGATTAAATATAAAAAAATAATAAACAATTAAAATAAATAGTAAAACAATGAATTTACCCTTAAAATAAAAAATATTAATCTTGAGATCAAAGAGTGTTTTTGTTTTTTTATAATGATTTTTTTATAATTAAAAATTTAGCTTAAAAATATTTTTGGATTTAGTTAAATAAATGAAAGAAAAATGAACGTGCTTATGTGGCACATTCAAGGGCATGTGGGAAGCATTTATACTCTTCAAAAGATGTATATGATATTTTCTAATGTCTAAAAAAGCTTTTCTATCATGTTGTTAGAAGTGTCACTGTTTTTTCTTTTTATTAGTGTGGTACGTGTCTCCGTTGGTTGTTATGTATGTTGTTGGTAGGCTTTTTATTTTATTTTTTTAATTCTCTTTCCTTTAATAAAAATTATAAATTGACTCTTTTAGTTGTTAATAATTCAATTTCAACTTCTATTTTTTTTATTTCAATTTTTTGCATCATTTTTGGTCTTGTTTCTCATGTAAAAAATTTTATTTATTTTTAATTTCATCACTGAATTCTAATTTACTAAATATTATATTCTCCAATTTGATCCTCATTCTTTGGATTTTTAATCTTTTTCCTTGGTCTTTTTATAAAATTTTATCAGTTTATAATTTCATTATTCAATTCAAATTGATGGCATTATATTTTTCAATTTAGTTCTAATTTTTTTGATTTCTAATTTCTTGGTTCTTTTGTAAAAATTATTATTCTTTTTAATTTCATGATTTAATTACAACATTGTTTTTATTTTTTATGTCAATTTCAAGCCTTACATTTTTTATTTTTCTAATTTTTTTTTCAATCTCCTCCTTCAATTGAATATAAAACTTATTTTGTATTTTAATTTTGATCCTTATTTTTTAATTTTTATTTTTAAAATCCTTTTATATAAATGATTTTTTTCAATTTCATCCTCAATATATGATTGTTCGGGAATTAGATTTCATTGTTTTTTCAGATTGGATGTTTTGAGTTTAATGATTCAGATCACGGATTTGAAAACTTAACATGAGTTTTTTTAAGAAAATAAAGGCTTTATAATTCTTTTTTATTTTTTATCAGGTTATTTTAATCACATGATTTGAGTTACGAATTTCATATAATATCTCAAGTTGACTCAACTCTAATTAGCGTGGTTACAAGTTTTTCATAATTGATTTTTTATATATTTTTTTTACTAAAACTTGAACATCATTTTTTATATAAAAAAATAATTTTCCCCGTTGTGAAGTGCAAACATTGAGGCTAGTTTTATCTACAATAAAAAACACCCTTGATCAAGATTATTAGAGTTCTTTTATATTTTCACCTATAAGGTGGTGTATATTTTCACCTATAAGATGGTGTTATTAAAAATCATGATAGTAAAATCTATGATAAATTAACTTATATAAAAATAATAGAGATTTATGATTGAAAGGTCTATATAAAGATATTACCGCACCAAAAGGATGTTCATGATGAATAAAGCTTCTTAAATGAGTTTTGAATTTGACAGTAAGATATTTTTAACTAAAGGATACTAATACAAGAATATCTTGGGAAAATAAATAATTTTTGATAATTTTTATTTTTTCCTTTTGTTTTAGGATTTTTTTCTATTAATTTTTAGTTTTTTATCAGAGGAGAATAATCTTTTATTTTTATTTTTCTATTTATAAATAAAAAATAAATATTTAATGTTTTTTATTTTTAAAGATTTTGACTTATAAGAAACTTCCTTATACTTCGCTCCTACAGCTATTATACTTCGCTCCTACAGCTACGTCATGGACCTACTAGCTAATACAAGACTAATCACCCCATCCATTAGGTGAATAATAAGCAAATTAAAAACAATAAATTTACTCGTTACCGGTCTAAATTGCTCAAATTCATGGGTTAATCTGTAAGAAACCCAGTTGACCACAGCAACCCATAAACTAAAAGGTAAGGTAAGGGGGCATTTTGTCACGTCTAGTACGCTAAAAAAAAAAAAAAAAAAAAAAAAAAAAAAAAAAACAAAATATTAAAACCAAAAGACAT